TTATTTTATTATCATCTCTGGCTGATGCATTTTCCCTTTTTTGAGCAAAGCATAACCCTCTTTTACTGAGCTTTAAATTCTATTGAAATAATTAGAACTTTTGTTGGATTTATATAACATGATGTTCCCAGGTGTCTTTAAACCTAGAGTCCCTATGCCCTGTTTAAAGTTTATGAGGTCTGTAGGCCGAATTTGATCACTATAAACTCTAGCATTACATCCTCAATCCCATCTAGAATCACTCAGTTAGATAGAAAGTTATATTAACTAGACTAAATTATCTCATGCATCAGCCGCAAATAGTTCTTGAGGTACAAGTTTTTCTAATTTTACCCATCTTACCTGGGCCAATTGCTGCTGCCGCTGCGGTGCCAATGCTGGCGCCAAGAATGTTGAAGAAGACGATGTAAATGAAGGCTACAGTGCTAATTTTCCCATTCGCCTCAGGGTCTAGCTTGGCTATTACTAAAGGGCAAAAAAAGGGATAATTTAATTTCAGCAATAGTTGTTGTTGTAGTATTTGAAGAAGTGAACAACAGCTGATCGTTTGACTGACACCAACTACCGTTTTACCATTAATTTTTGATGACACCAACTCGCCTTATGATTCACAACAGCCTCACAACGCCAAAAAAAGTAGTGCTAAAATATTTCGCCTTTTTCTCGTGAATGGAATGCATATAAAAATTCAAAAATGCCCAAGACAGTACAATCTTTTGAGTGAAAAAACATCATTGCATATAAGTGGGAAATGCTGCCTTAGTTTCCTTACTCAGAGTGAAACAAAATTCCCACCTACAAGAGTTATTCTAGCATCCCAGACTACTGCAAGTTAAGGGCAAATAGATTGTTTATTATGTGTTGTTAAGTAGGTCAAATTAAATACTGTGTGGTAGGAAAGATGAGATGACATCTGGATGCTAACATTTCCATTTACGTGAACCTGAGTGGAATTGCTACGTGATTGCAGTGACAGTGCGCCGCTGCGAGCAGGCGAAACGGCCTTCGACTTGTCAACCTAACCCGTGCACCTTACTAGTGGTGAGAAGTGCAGCGAGTATGAAATGGTGTAATACAAGGGAGGGGCCTAGATCTAATGGTTTGCAAGTTGACGATAATGTAATTGGGATAAAAGAAAATTAATGCAGATTGCTTGTCAGTTAGAAATTAGCTATTTCAACTAAATTGTGGGGGTGAATGAATGTAACATGTAGGCGGGTTTCACCCTTAATTATTTTAGAGCTCAATCTGATATCATTGAAGAAGGAAGGATTGAAGTGGCTCCCTAGCGTATTCGAATAGTTTATTTTATTCAAAAAATAGCGAGTTTGAACAATCTAAGTAAGGTGGAAACCTAAAGTACAACTGCTACAAATTCATTCACATTAATTTATGAACACAAATGCTACAGAATTTAAATACATTCAAAAACTTACCGATGATAACGTTTGAGGCAATAAGTGGCAGAATGGTAAGTTTTAGCAGACGAATGTAAATGTCACCAGGCATAGCTAAAATAAAGTAAATCAATTCTTTATTAATATATGTACAAAAATATCCGTTTACAGTCCGGTGAGTTAACATACTAAACCTTATTTTAATGGGATTGGAACAGCGAAAAACCTCATAAATATATGGTAGCACAAACCCTTACAACTTCATTATGGGGGAAATCCATTGACCTGAATCACATTAAGGTCAAATAGGTTAGCAAAAAGTGATTTATATTATTGGAATTAAGAGTTATATAGAAAACACACAATGTCCACTTTGATGGTGCAATTGGAAATAACGGCAACCTACAAATCCAAACCTTGAGGTTTTCATCGATTCTCGGCAGTTGTCGGAGGCCAAAACCAATTGCAAAACCGATTAACACGCCTGCAATTATGGAGAGCATGAACCTGTTGTTAATAAGACATTGAAGGAACCGGTTGCGCTGTGGCTTCTCCACAGGGCTCTCGCTCCCCGTCTCCTCGAGTCTACCGTTGTCATCGCTCATGCCTTGCGGGATCGACGTTACATGACATCCGTGCATAGGGTGTCGATTTATATGGGAGTAGTGGCGTTCTTTCATGCCTCACAATCGTCTGGTGGTGTGAAAGCCCGCGTATGTGTATGGGTGCGTGCGTGCGCCCAACTGATGGGAGACGCCTTCTATTAAGACGGCAAAGTGGCACTTTGAGATCTTCTAAGACCAGCAGCTACTTTTGCTTGTGTAAATGGTGTGGCTTACCAGAAAGGCACGTGCTTAAAAAAATGGAGTGTGCATCCTCTCAGAAAACCATCAGTTGCCTTCGGAGTATATGAAACGCTACTGAATTTCATCGGTAGGTTTTCAATTGACATGACAAAAAAACTGCTGCCAATGGTCAAATTTATGACACTTTGACAACCTCAACCCATAATTAAACATAATCTCATAATAAGTTCATTTATTGAAGCTTCTTCGTGTTGAATGCATAACCAAATAGTGTTATCTTTGCAGTGGTGTGGGAGATTCTTGCATACTGCTTACGTAAAGATGGGTAATGTTATTACAAGTGATTTTTAGATCAATGTACACTAACGAAATCCTCTTAACCATGAAAGAATTGAATATATTTCTGTTGTTAACCCAAACTACTAATAATAAACAAACAAACCATAATGCAGTGCGAATTAAAATCTGGCTCAACTTCTCCCTCTTGCACACAGACCGGAATTGGGATGGAAATTTACATGACTTTGTATTGATGGAAATATGCCTCTCTAAATATTGAACAAGTTTGTCGCACTAGTCAGTGGAATTGATATTTAGCGAAACTTTAGGGCTGGATTACATCATTAAGAAGAGCATATCAGAGCCGCAATACTTTGTACTTTTCCTGTCAAAACTGAAGGTATTAAAGTGCCACTAACTGCGTTGTATCATTAAGTACACTCAGGACTGTCAATCATACGCCAAGCACCAGTAGTGTATTTCTTGGCAAAATGGTTTGTATTGTAAGGATCAGTGAATAAAATTACCAAAATGAACGGCAAACTCTACTACGAACTCATTCACGTCTTTTACTAGTACTTTACTTGCAATAAAATCCCACGAGCATTCAACTCGGGAGAGTACGTCTATGCTCCTGGCGCTGATTAGTAGAGAAGGCAATGGAATAAATAGTTCGCATAGCTTCTAATTGTCAGCTGTTATTCAATGCTTCCAGTTGCAGTGCATAGAACTCCTTCTTTGTTAACTCGATCGGAGTTTGATTCTAAGCTTTGCATAATTACATTTAAGTAGTTGTTCGGAACCAACACAAAAGATCATTGCAAACAATAATAGGAATGCAATTCCAGAATCAGTTGGTGGTATAGACGTGTGCACCCCCTCCCAGTCATGCTTCTGGCTAAGTGGTCTCCCCGATGAGCGCTACCAATTTATTGCAGGTTTTATCGCTTATTTTTAGTAACGCAAGGTATCAATTAAACTGCGATCGTCAAACCAACACAGATTCGACAAATTGCTGCTATATTCAATTAAATGCGCTTGAATCGTTTACTGTTATGGGACATTTGGAAAGAAAACGAATCTCAGTGGTTGTTTAACAGCAGTACCTATTAGTAAATACGATTTTTACAGAATACTTTGTCCTTTAACTAGAAAGTGTTACACAAATACCTGGATTCAGTTGTGAGCATTCAGTAAAAGTAGAGTGTTTAACACTAAATAGTAAATAACATGAACAAATAAGTTTGACGAAACATTGCTCAGGAGAAATAAAACGCAGTCGGATCAAACGGCTAAAGTGAAGATCATACACTGTAGTAAGAGGGACAAAGAGTAAATAGGACGGAAGAGTAGGGTGTGGAGCCAGTGACTAATGGTTTACTAAGAGTGCTTAAGCTTCCGTAGTGCCACCGACTTCAGAAAACGGTGGAGGTTCATTGCTCTTGGCGAAGTTTCTACTGTGTAGCATTGCCGCACCATACATGGTTGTTATGGTGTTCAAACCTGCCCGGATTCGATCCCTAGTGAAAAAAAAAAAGGAAAAAGAAAACGGGAAAACATTCCGCCAAATCTACAAATATTTTGGTCTATCAAACTGAGGTGTATGATGGGCTGACAAATTTCTGACGATATCGAGAACTGAATGCGGTCCAATTATTCTAAAGCAGGCAGCTTTTTTACTTTTTCAGCTGCTTAACACAGAGATGGGCAAAACTAGAAGTTTTCCTACATACAAAATGCAAAAAAAGCTAAATTGGAACATTTGTTAGTGATATGCTTCATTCCTGACTCCTTGGAGCCATGGTAACTGTCGATGGTTTATGTTGTGTAGAATGGGGTACATGAAAGACGTGAAAAATCGTTTTAGCAGGTTGAAGCTCGGTCAACAAAGAAAATACTATACACACAGTTCTTTACGCCAAACCTGATCAAAGCGCCCCTATAAATTATGCTCTTTTGTCCTCCTTTTTCTTTTGGTTACTGTTGTTTAAACCAAGTTTGCTGCCATTTTCCAGCGACGCTCGCGTTGCCGCTACCGCTATTGCTGTCGTTGCCCTTCAAGACTGGCTTGCCCCCCTAGCCGTGGGTTTACGGTTTACCTTTGTATAATTATTGTGCAATCAAAACCGAGGCAAGTAGACCAAAAGTGGTTTGATATTTGGATTGTTTTGCTGTCCTATTCTACGTTCTGATCTAGTCGTGCATCGAAGACGGTGGAACAAAGTTACTCCCCTCTCCCCCCAACCACAGAATCCCATAATTAACAACGCAGCCCTTACCAAAGATTATTCCCTTTGCAACATACATTACAATAAGTGTTCTAGTGCTCGCACACTTGCTCCTAAGTTAACATGCCTTTCCTATAGAAATTAATCCACTGCACCACCTCCAAATTATGTGAACAGTTTATTTCAACAGTATTGAATTCTTTACTAATCAGAGGCGCTGGTTGAAAGCTCAGGTAGGAAATTCGCTTGCCGTACTATGCTAACCATCCTTTAACAGTCAGCTGCACAACGCGTGGTGTAAAAGTGGCTCGAGAGCAATTCTGTTATTCCAGAATGATGTTAAGATGATTTGGTGTAAGTGTAGCCTACCCAGTAAATTAAATGCATTGGAATTTAGACGAAGTCTATTTATCCCAGAGACGCTTAATCTGGGACCCCTGGGCAGAAGGTTGGTCACTCTCATCTATGAAATCGTGATCTTCCTTCGCTGATTTTCTTTGGTCATACGCATGCAAAATGGCTGCACCATACATGGTGACTGTTGTAGCAACTCCCGCACGGAAGCGGTCACTGGAGGAATAAATGGGAAAAGTTTAGGGAAGATAGGTAGTATCGCAGATGCAAGCAGAAACTTAACTTACAGGAGCCAATCGATGGCGTAGAGGTATACAGTACTCCTTGTTGGAACGCCAGCGGAATTCAGAATAGTCATTGCAATGAGGATACTTGCACTTGGGACATGCGGAATAGCCATTACTGACACCGACGTTAACAGCCTGTAATTACAAATGGAATCATATGAAGTTCCAGTGAGATTTTCAAAATTACCAAAATGTCTAGTCACCAAAAGACAGCAGAAATAGTTTAGAACAAAGTGCTATTGTTGAGGGAACTTAGAGCACAAAGCCATACGCACCAAATGACAACTACAGTGGTGGGTGGTACGGTATCAAGCTCCAACTGTGCCACAAACATGCAAGCGCAGGAGATGAATATCGCTGGACCATCCGACTTCATAGTAGTGGCGATTGGACAGAAGAACCGTGAGATCTCCGGTCGAATGTCAAACTCATCACACCCTTGGAACATTTCTGGTAGCGAGACAATCCTGGGAAAAAATGGAGCCAAACGGTGTAGCCCTTATTCAGCGAGTTTCTAATTTTGAAATAACTAAGATTGCAAGCGATAAATTTAATAACAGAAATTGTGTTAGGAAAACTTACGGAGACGTTGTAGCAAAACTGATGAACCAGGCTTTGATTGTACGTGGGAGGAACTTGAAGGGATTGCGCATAGTTGTAACAAAGTAGAGGAGCAAAATCAGGATGAAAAGCACAGCTGTTCCAGCCGTTACGGTGACCACAAACAGGCCCACTTTGGAGAAGGTGCCCGCAACGTCCTCTACTCCCATGATAGCCGCAGCAATCATGAAACACACACCACCTGGAGTTAACCTTTCGTAGGACGAAACAAAATCGTGATGTTTCATCAGCACGTTGAATTTAGGGAACTTCAAAAGCTTTCTAAGTAGCTTTAAAAATGCAACTGTGTTGCATCTTTCATTTGAGGATGGGACTTTTGCGATCTGAACCTAATGTTTTGCCCGCAATCAAGATCATGGTACCCACTCCATTTGTTCAGGGAGTAAAGACAATTTGTGTGCATAAGTAAATGGATTAGTGAAAAAAGGAATGACAAGAGTGGTCTTGCAAACTCACAGGAGGAAAACTCGGACCAGTTTCAGAGTAACTTCACAGAGTGATTGGAAGAAGTCAAGAAAAGCCTTGCCCTTGTTGCCTGCTGCTTTCGCGGCCAAACCGAAAGCGATTGAAACCATGAGGATGCCTGGTTAGTTAACCAATGTATGTTATACCCGTCCGTGATGCACATACTTTAAATGACAACAGAATTTGGATATTGCGGAAAAACAGTTTTTTTATCCAAATTTGGAGGTATAGCTAAATTGCTAGCATCATAAGGTCAACTGAAGCAACCGTTGGCAAAAGTGAAAAATTAGCTCACCAATGAGATCCTTCGAAGATGCGGTCCCGACAATGCGCACTTTTTCTGTTTTATTCGTTCCTGCTTTGTATTCGTAATACGTTTTTGTCTAGAATTGGAGTGTGATAATGTCAATTCTCACTGTATGACCAATAAGCAAATTTAATAGTCGATGCAATAGTTATTAGAGGTTTACGCTAATAATTTTTCTGAAAACAGATGGAGAATTGAAAACGGGCTTGTTTTCTTATTGATGAAGACCACCTACTTGTTGAATGCACATGGCGACAATGTTGTCGGGGAATATGTTCAATAAAAGATCAGCAAAAACGTCAGAGGCCGTTGCCCTTAGGTTGGGATCATCTTCATTGGTTGCATTCTCCAATTTAGTAATGCCCGTACCTAGAATTGAAATGCTGAGTAATATGGGCAATAATACAGTTGTACATGGGTAATAATATACTGCCACGAAATTGAAGCAAATGGACTTGCACCAACCACTTTCAGATTTTGATTATCACAGACGAGGGTTTTTGTTATTTGTTCAGGTGAATTTAAAATCAGGTGAAGCTCGAAACAACAAATGACTTGATTTCGCTGTCTAAGAGTTGTGTCCTGGTTACACATTATGAAGACTACAAGTCAACAAGAAAAGCACAATAGTTAGGGTAAAAAGGGACTCCCTTAAGTGATCCACCTCCAACAATCGTAAGATATGAATTTTCAATGTAAAATATTGCGCATTACCTGGTTTGATGATGACTGAAGTGATTGTTCCAATAGCAGATGCAAGAATGTTCATTCCGATGATGAAGGCAAGTGTGATCACACTTGTCAGGCCTTGCTCTTTTGGATTGATATTGGAGATCACTAGAAAAATGCGGGTTTTGGATGAGATATTACCAAAGTTTGTTTTGAATTACTCCTAGGCAAATTAATTCATGGCATGCAAAATGTTATTTGATATTAACGGAATGTAGTGCGTGAGGCGAAGCTGGATGCAGTGTGAACCAAATAAGACAAGCATCAGGTGCTCATTGAACCACATTTTTACGCAAGCACAAAACGTCAAAAGCATAGTAATTGCAGAACAGTTTCCAAAACCTTGGCTGCGTCCATCAAAAAGTAAATGAATTTAGTACTAACCGATGATGAGATTGGAGGCAATCAATGGAAGAATTGTTAGGTCCAGTACATTAATGTACAGAGTGCCAATCAGATCTAAAAATGTAGATATTCATTTGAGTAGGAAACAATGCGCAGCCTTCCAATTAGAATCACGTTGCCAAAGCCTGATCTAAATTGTCTACCACATCATTCATGACGCAAATGGCCAAATTTTCACTAAACTCACTTATACTTCAGGATTGGGCCTAAAATATGTAAATTCGTAACTCGCTCTGCATAATTTTTTTAATGAAAAAGTTTCAATGCCGTAATTGCGACATTTTTCGCGCATTCATTCTATCCGATCATCAGACATTTATTCTAACCATTTGTGAAACCTAAAATGCTTTGCTTAAGAGCCATTAAATGGCAAACACTCTACAAAAGACTGTTTTCCGGGTAGCAAACCCAGGACAATCAATGCGCCGGGCTAATATCAGTCTGCACTCTACCTCTGCGGCTTTATCTGGGTCTAGGGCGAAAAGAAATATTGCAACTGCCAAAAAAACGCAAAAAGTGAGAGGTCAATAAAGTAAGTGCATTCTGTATAATAGTAATGCGTATCATCAGGTTTTAATAAACGAGCATAAAATAACAAGAAATCGTAAAGGAGAATGGGTCAACAACTCACTTATCCACTGTTCTGCGATAGATGACTTAGTAGCAGTGCGTAGGCCGAAACCGAGACCAAATCCCACCGCCACACCGACGAGAATGAGGATCATAAAGAGATTGTCCTTAAGGATCTTCACACATGACGCCTTGCACCCCGTTGGAGTCTCTACCTGGGGCTTCTCGAACTCACTATCGTCCTCCGAGAAAGGTATGTCCTTGGAAGACATGATGTTTGGATGCCCCATGCCGAGTGACATTCACGCCTTTTACCCCAGCACCAACACCGCGCATGCACACTCTGGCTGGGCCTGATTGGCTAAGCTCATGAGCACATTCCATAACATGCCTTTGCACACGTATCACGTTCTGGCTTATCTTTTGAATGTTCATCTACCTTTGCCTCAGTGGAGTTCTAACAACTCCTTCAGGTATGTTCCGTGTGAGGTATCTGCAGGCCATCAGGACGTCACCAATCTTCTCAGCGTTGCATGAGTGAATCACCAAATCGTCACGCAGGTGCTCCATTGGCCAGAAAATCCCCAGAATTCGGCCCTATTGAGTCAACGACAATTACGGCTACCTGACTGTATCTACATCAGGAAGGAAAAATGGCATCATAACCACAGTACCACGACATTGTAAACGTGCGGAGCCACCATGCAGCCAGATAATTGGTCTACAGACTAAAAAATTAGAACAAATTTTACAATATTTGTTCATTGTTAGTAGTTAATATCTTTCTTCAGTCAATTACTTTATTGTACCACTAAAGGAACCCATCCTGGCTTGTGAAACAGGGTCACGTGACGTGGCCTGCTGAATGCCACATTTATGTACGTTAACTTACAATGATAAATCTAATACAAAGACATAAAATGTATTGCTTGTTTCATAATAAAACCTCTTTGGTACCGAGTCGGTTTGAGCCTTCATCATCAAAAATGGAAGGTGTCACATCAGTTCTGTTGGTAGTGTTGGCACAACGCACGAAGTACCCTTGACGTAATTGCCTCTGAGGACGTTTCCTTAGATTTTAATGGTAACTACTCGCATTACAAGCTATAGAACAGTTCTGCATAGTGCTGAACCGAGATACTTGGTTTCCAAGAGAGTAAGCTCCAACTCCTTCACTCAAGTCCTCCTTTCGTACGATATCGCTTTTTCCACAAGCAAAAATTCGTTACGGCTTAATTTGATTTTACAATATAAGGATTTTCTAATGAATTTAATGCTAAACTATTCGAAAAAATTAAATGCATTAATCTGTTACACTATATTGGAGATAAAAAATAATCTGAAAGCTATATGCTTTTGGATAGCTCTTCTAATATGCAAATCTACTTCGATTCGAATCTTCATAAATGAGCCCATTACCAAAACCTCCATTTGCTCCTTCACAAATTGTTTCTGCAACTCAACACATTGGTTAATGAGAACGCCGGCGAAATCAGAGAAGTTTAATTTATTGCAGAAGTGCATTAGGCAAAAAACAGGAAAAAGATTCAATCATAAATAAAGAAGACTCAAACGATCTTAGAGGAATGCAATTAAAAAGTCAACTTTATAGTGGGACATTAGATTACACATTAGTTCAAATAACATGAAACGTCCAAAATACAAAAATTAC